CGTTGTTTATTGTTAATAGATGATTGACTAATTTATATATAAATTAAATAAAATGAAATTTAACTAAATGACTAATTAAAAGAAGAAGAAGAAGAAAAAAAAAACAACATAAAGAAATATTAATGATAATAATAAAAAACAAAAGATAATTTTATATTTGTGAAAGATCATATAAAGCTTCTAAAAGAGTTGCACAAGAACAAGATTGAACATAAGATGAATAAGGACAAAATTTACCATTTGAATTAGTTAATTCCGGTAAACCTTTCCAATCATTTGACATAAATAAATCTATATGTGATGATATTAATTGTCGAATATGTTTTATTGTTTGTTTATAAATAATTTGATCATTTTGTTGTTTTGACCAATAAATTTTTGCTCGTATATAATAACCTGTTAACCATAACCATTCCGGTCCATTATGATAATTAAAACCATGTGCTCGTTTATAATCATATGAATCATCATCATTTACATAATCACCAATATAATTATAATCACTTAAATATATATTAAATAAATAAGAATTTTTTTTTAATTAAAAATAAAATAAATATATCTTACTTTGGATCAAGAGTTTTTATTCCATATTTACCTAATAAAATTGTTTCAACTTGTTTTAATGCTAACCATATATGAGTTTTATTAAACATTTCTGGAGCCTTTTAATAAAAATATATTTTTTTAAGAAAAAAAAAGAATATTAAAACTTTACAATAACAGCAGCAATAATAAAATTGGGTCTTAATTGAAAATCAGTCCATACAAGTGTTGAATTAACTGTATCCTTATAAATTTGTTTTCTATTAACAAATTCTGATGAATTTGATTCATCAATCCAAAATTCATTTTCAAAATTTTCATCAATTCGATTTAACCAATCATTTAAATATATTTTTATTTTTTCACCAGATTCTTTTTTGTTTTTATAGAAAATAAATTAAAAAGAAAAAACAAAATAAAAAATGAAAAATGAAAAATAATAAAAAAAAATAAAAAATTTACCTAAAGATATTTGAAAATAATCATAAGGAAAATATCCTTGTTTATTCATGTTAATAATCCATGAAAGTGTTGCACGACATAATGCAACTAATTCAATAGCTGAACCATCACGTGGTGTTGATGGATGACCTTTATTTGATGCTTTATCACTTGAACCCATTTTATTCATCCAAGTTCCACAATTCCAACGATTTCCACCATATATAAATCCCGTTTTTAAATTAACACCAATATTATTATTAAAACCTTCATCTTTCATATTAGAATCTAAATAATATCCAGCTCCACGTTCTCGAAATTGAAATGATTGAATATGATTAAGAAGAATTTCATAAATAAGATAATGTAATTTTTGATTATATGAATCAACTATTTTTGGTGAACTATCATCATTAGGATATATACGTGAAATATTATCACAAAGAATTTCATAACCATTAACAACAAATTTCGTATAATTTAATATAGAATATAACCACCACCAAACAGCATCACGACAATTATAACGAGCATTTTTTTCATCATACATTATATTTGGAATTAAATAATGACGAATAGATCCACCATAAGATAATATTAAATAACGAGCTTCTTCATATCTACCAGTTAATAAAAGAAGACCACGTAATGATATAAATGTTTGACGACCCCAATTTCTCCATATACCATAAGATAAATTTGGAAAATCAGCAGCTAATGATGGTATTAATTGAATACGTTCAAATGTTTGTTCATCTTTTTCTTCAATTGGATTAGGTTTAACTATATTTGATGATATTAATGGTAAACGAGAATTATTAATAAAACTTAATAATTGAATAGTTGTTTGAGAAAGTGAACGAATAAATTTTGATGATTTAATTATAAATGGATTCATTAATTTATATCCATGTTCTATTAATATATAATATGAACCTGTTATTATTAAATCAAAATATTTTGGAATCATTAAACGTGGTAAACAACTTATATATTCAAATGCATTTTCATACCATTCACCTAACTATAATTAATTATTTATTTATTTACAATAATAATAATAATAATAAAATTTAGAAAAAAAAAAATAATAATCAAACCTTTTTTGTATTTGGATGAATTTTAAGTCTATTTGATATATATTTCATTAACCAATTTCCTTGTTTTAAATTATTAACAAATGGATGTTTAATTTGATTAAATAAACGAATTTTATCTAAAATAGATATTTGTCCTTGAATACCACAATAAATAAGTTGACCATAATCAGGTATATTATAAACATCAAAACCTTTTCCATCTGATTGTTCTTCAAATGATGTACGATAAATAATACGTTCAAGATCAACTAATGTTAATTGTTTAATTATTTTATTAAATTGACTTGTTGAATTTGTATATTGATTTAATAATTGTTCAAGATAAATAATAGATTGACGAATTTGTGGAAGAAGAGAAATTTTAATTGCAATTATTGATCCGGGACGAAATTCATTTGTAAATTCAATTGTTCGAAAACCAATATAATCAGGAGAATTTGGAGATTTTAAACGAATACAACGACTTTGTTCAATTAAAATATTTTCACGAAAATATATTTTTGTTTGTTCAAGTCCATTTATATATTCTTTTGATCTTTGAAAATTTCTAACTGGTTCTTTTTCTTGTGGATGATTTATTGTTCCTTCAAATAAAATATCATCAATAATACCTTCAATTAATAATGAATTAATATATTCCCATTTTTCACTTGGTTGATAAAAAGATGTATGAGCTATTAATAATATTGATTTATGTGTTTCAGGATTATGACGAGTTATTAATAATGATGATGTACTTAATTGATCAACCATTAACTAAACATTTTTCATTTTACATTTTACATTTAAATATTATAGAACAACATTTTTATTATTTTATAATTATTAAAGTTTTTTAATCAAATTATTTACATATTATATTATTTTTATATTCATTAGAAAATATTTTTAATTAAACACATATAAATACATATAATAATAAATTCTTATTTACTTTACAACATTACTCGAGATAATTAAGTCAAACTCAATATTTAAATAAATTTTACACTATTTAGTTTTTCATTATACACAATATTCTAAAACTGTTAACAAATTCGTTCAATATATTTTATATTATAATCTAACAATTCTAAAATAACTCAAGATATTATATACGAATTCTGATTATGATACAATATTCATTCAAGATTATCAATCATTTACTAAACATCATCTTACTTTATCTTAGAGATTAATATTTTAAAAATATCAAAATTTAATAAACTCGTTACAAGTCTTTATCTATTACATAAATTATTTAGGAATGTTAGACCTTTTTTTTACGTTCTCAACATCACAAGAAAAACATTTTATATCATTATGAAGAGAGAAAGAGAGAGAGAGAGAGACGATAATAGATCGAGATTCTTGAATTAGTACAACAAGGTATATTAACGTGACAATGCAAATGCAGATATAATCAATTTATTACGCGATACAAAGAACTTCTACTTAAGTGACAATTAAACATTGAGACTTTTTCTTTATTTCTAAACTCAATGAAAATATTTTAAGGTAAATTATCAGGTTAAACAAGAAATAAAACAAAAAACTAAAATTAAAATTTCTGCTTTTTTTATCTATTTTTATAAAATAATTTTTTATTCGAATTATTTCATTTAGTTCATTTATAATAATACGTAAAAAAAGGTAAACACAGTAAAATAATCTATTTACATGTTCTATTATTATTATATTAATAAATCTATAAAAACTATGATAAATTATATTAAAAAGGCTAAATTTTCCAATAACTACGATATATAATATAATAGAAATAAACGTTAAATAGAACGACACTTTCGAATGTAGCATTCAACAATTTTATTAAATCTTCAAAGACAAACATAACTTTTTAGACGAAATCGTCAATAAAAATAAAACTGTAAAACTCGATTGTGAAAAATAACAACAACAAGTTCGAACATTAAAATATTGCGAAAAAAATTCATAAGAAAATGTTAAATGACTTTTATTTAACTATGAACAATGAAAAATAATTAAAATTTTTTGGAAACAACTTTATTGGAAAAGGTTTTTTTTTATTTTAATTAAACTAAACGAACGAAATCTTTGTCAAATATTTTCTATGAAAAAACAAAAAAAAACAAACTATAGAAATTTAAAGCGAAATTAATGATTTTGATAGACATATGTTGAACGAACCTTTTCAATATT